CCCTTCTTATCATCCTCCTCCTCCCCTACTCCTCCTCTCCCTTCTTCCTACCTTCCTCCTCCTTCTACTACCCCTCTTTCTCCTCCTCCTTCTACTACTCCGCTTTCTCCTCCCCTTCTCCCTTACTCCTCCTCCTTGTGTTAACCAGGGTAACACACTTCCTCGGTGCATGTCACACAGCACTAATCAATATGAGAGCAACTGAACTACTGACTGATATAAGTAGCCCGTTACGTCATCAATACATAATTTTTTTTATTGCTAGTGGGGTGGGGCTTGGCAGATATGCAGAACGTTAAGAGTACCAATATAAATGGCACAACAACAGACTGACTAGTGAAAAATGAACAGGAAAGAATGTGGGAGGAAGCGGTCGAGACCAATTTCAAGGTACTATCGCTACATTCGCCTTGAGGGGGCCGAGAACACATAACGAATTCCTCAGTGAGGATAACCTGTCACGGGAACTACACTCTAACCCTGTACCTCCCTAATACAAGGCAGAAATATCACCCACTCAACCCTGAAGTTTGATGTACCATGAATCAACCGGATAATCAATAACGTGTGGTCACGTGCATAGAAATGTATCTTTTAATTGAAAATTGACGTGCCGCCACTGATTCACCCCCTCCACTTGAAACCAATCTATCAGCTACATGCACCAGCTGTTTGACATTTACAGGGATGAGATCCAACCACCCCAGCAACCCCTAAGGGCCTGAAATAGCCTCTGGAACGAGGGGGGAAATGATTTATTTGGTAATGATACCTTCTAGCTGAACCCCCCCCCCCCACCGTCTCAATTCTGCTTCTTGTGTACATCTCAGGGTAATCCTGACGCACTGACAAAATGGAAAATAAATTACTCCTTCCTGTTTCTCGGTTTTGTGGCCACGGAGAGAAAATCAAACGTAATGAGTTTTAACATTTCTCATCAAGATTCTTGTCTTCTGGGAATGTTAGGTTACGCAGTCCGACGGAAACCGACGGGCGTCTCAAATCACACAAGCAACAAACAAACTAGTGCTGCTTGCTAGCTGCTTGTTTGTTCCCGTGGCTTACGTTTCTACCTTGAAGATGGAGGAAGTATGTTCGTCCGAAGCGCAAGTAGACATTTATCAGACTGCGCTACGTCACATTCGGGATGACAATACTCAAATCCAACATTTCTCTTTAAATGTGACAGTCAGTGGAGGTTGTCATGCCGGAAGGTGCCATCAGAGGTCAGTAGGTCTGCATGTATCTATCTAGAGGACATGTGACGACGCTGCCAGTAGCTGAGCCTGTTGTAGGTTGATTAATGAGTAACGAAAGGGGTCGCGACCTAATTTGAAGCAGTATCTCGGCGTTTGCTGGAAGGGGCAAAAAAAAAAGATGAAAAATCACAGGATAGTACTCATGTCGAGATTCGAACCACGTAACTCCGGTATAAAAATGAGAAACTTTATATCTTACGACAACTTGTACGATTCTAAAATGTCTAAAACTGCGCAACTGATTCATCTGCTCCAAATTTGCGCAACTGTTTGGTGTATATCTGTGTAAATGATTGCATTGTATTTGCGGAAACGCTTTATATTTGCGCAATTCTTTGCTCTAAATCTGCGCAACTCTTCTCTCTATATTTGCGCAACTAGCTGCTCTGTATGCAAGCAACCGGTTACTCTACAACAGTTCGTGACATATGTGTGAGTCCTAGGAAGCAATTTCAGGGGCTAATCCATTCGCTCGATTAATAATAAACGCATAGGAACATTTCGAAAGAACTGTCTGTCCTGAGTTCCGGTTTCCATCCTGCAGAAGGAGATTTTTGTAGCGTCGAATGATAGATGAATTGAAAATGATTCGTAAGGAAGGGCCTTAGTCTAATCCAGATACTATCCCAGTATTTACCCGGAGAAACTGAGGAAAATAAGGATAAATCTCGCAAAGTTCAGCCGGCGTCTCTACCGAGATTCAAAGAGAACATATCTACCACAACGACGATCTGCTGATGCGGTTACCCGGCGCCCGTGATTCCCAGACATAAAAAGGAGCGTCTCATTGTCACACACAAGAGCGTCCCCGATCGACAGAGCAAACAAACACTTCTGGCTGCCGTATCGATTCTCCTCCGGTGGACATGCCCTCAAGGTATGCTGTCATCTTTCTAATGGGAGGCTCAACGGGAATTACGTGTAGAGTCCATCCACTCTACGTCACACCTCGTGTAGGCAACCTTACGGAAGAAAACTTCCTACGTAAGTACGTATGAATTTCCCAGCGGCATACGAATACCTGTTGGAAACAGAATTCAGTAATAGTCTAACAATGATATAACGGACTGCGTCACTAAATGACGATGACGCAATCTCATTCTCACAGCCGACGAGACAATATGTCACCTGCACACGATCAAATGTTCGCCTATCCCCAGTTGTTAATTAAACAGGGAAAACATTTTTCTTCTTTGATTTGAGGCTCTCGAAGCGGCGGTTATAAATAGTATTAACTTCTGGGATGTGACGCCGTGTAGTCTGACAGTTTATCGATGTTTCGGAGTAAAATATTGCCTCCATCTTCAGGGCTAAAGAGGAAGTACAGATAATAACAAATAGAATGTAACGCTATGCTTGCTGTTTATCATTCTTCGACCACGAAGATGGATACATTACGTTACTTTGAAACGAGGGAAAAATTCCACCAGACTACACGACGTCACATTAGAGTAGATAGTATTTTTCAGCACTATTCTTATATGAATGAGTAGAACGGGTTCACATATGGGATTAGCATTCACAGAGACGCACAAAAAATAAATATTAAAAATGAACGAACGCGGAAGTTCCAGTAGAAAGGGGTCCGAAATGAACCCGGGGAGCATTCCATTGAAATTAAAATGAACATCGTCTGCACACAAAACTGGCACAAAAGAAATGGAATTTAAGGAATTAACAAATACGAAAAGATTAATGACTCATACACGTACTTTGGGGCCATCTGCATTGTGTCGGTTGCATTCCGTTCGCGTACAGAGCCAGTACAGACAAGCGGCATTTCAGCGAACTAAAAATATCCAACAGTGAATATTACTGTCCTATGGGATGAGACACCGTCAAGTTTGGTAGTTATCAACTTGATGCCTCCATATGTAGCGCAGAAACGTTGGTAAAATGGCGTTTCCAAAGAGGATTCTAAGAATTTCTGATATTCTCAAGAGTTTTATATCCTGAAGACAGAGGCAGCAGATTCATCCGAAAGGTCGGTAAACCAAGCTACACGGCGTCACAATCCAGAACACTGTTCATTACATTTACCGCGACGAGAACATGGAAATGTAAGGACACGCCGGCCTGCAGTCAGCTGAACCTTCAGACAGCCGGAGGGGCATCTCCCGTTTCCCCTCTCTCATATTACGTCAGCAGACGGAGACAACACGATGGAAGAGAGATTTTTGTTTCCTCTCTTGTCTCCAGTTTCATTATCTTCCATTCTCTTCTCCTATTTTCTTTCTTCTTTTTCTCAGTTTAGGCCTTCTCTTCTTCCTTCCATCGCTCTTCTTCTACTTTCTATTCGACCATCTCTTCTTCCTTCCATCGCTCCTCTTCTACTTTCTATTCCACCTTCTCTTCGTCCTTCATTATCCTCATTTCCTTCTTATTCTCCTTTCCATTTTTTCCCACTTGCTCTTCCTCCTACATCTACTCCTTCCCGTTTCTTCCTCCTTCTTCTCCCTTTTCCACTTCACTTCCTCTTTTACTCTTCACCTTTCTTTCCTTCCTTTTGCTCATAATCTCTTTTCTTCTTTCTGCTCTGACCCACGTAACTGAGAGTTCGGGCTCTTCAATGACCCATACATCTCTCTTTCCGTTTCATGAACAAGTGGACAAATCCGCTTCGCCCGCCCAGGAACACTCAACGCAATTGGTGGCGTTCTCTTGTAATGTTTACGCGCCACAGTTTCCTGCCCCCGAGCTAATCCTCTGAAGTGGAGACTCCACATGTTACGATCTGCGAATGCGTGCCCCTCTCAGCGGTGTTAGAAAAATGTGCAGAGGGAAAACAGTTTCAGGAACCGTGAAACAAAAACATCGAATCCTCCCTTCCCGGCGTTTTCATGAACAGCTGTTCCCCGAGAGTCCTGCTGCTGCCACACAGAACATTCATTCGAGACTAAATGGTCCGAGATTCGATAACGCCAATTTGGGGAGAAACATTTGGGAACACAGCATTCCCGTTCTTCCAACATATTTGTTACTTCGTTAAGTTGGTTAAATGTTGAGCCTATGAACTGGCTTCACTACACCACAAGGGACATAAGAATAGGGGTAAGATAAACAAACACGCCAAGAATAAACGTAAAAATTCTGCTTACGAAAATAACTGCTATTTACTCTGACCCTCGTAAGAAACACGTGAATACGCTGCGCGGTGTTTCCAAGGGCCACAGCACCTGAAGCAATCTCGTACTCCGTTTAAATGAAGCCCTGGCAGAAAGGAGGGCTCTTTTAATGGTGAAACAGCTGAGTAGTAGGGGGGGGGGGCTCAGTTTCAGTACTGACACCCCAAACCGCAGGGCAATTAATTCCGAACTAATTCGCATCTTCAAGTTGAGCGCCCCCGTTGTTAGCGGCCTCATGTCACCCCGTCACCCCAGCATTGAGGGACTCGCATCCGGGCACACCGATATTCTGGGAAGTGAGGCTGTGATGGAGCTACCGGCGTTTCGAATCAACCTGTTGCCTCTATCTTCACGGCTTCTAGTATGTGATCTAGTGTGCACACGTAGTTATTTGCCAACGTTTCGGATAAATCTGCTGCCTCTATTTTCAGGGTCTCTGGGATGTGATGCCATGTATACAGTAAATATTACCAACGTTTCGGAGAAACCTGCTGCCTCCATCTTCAAAGTTTTCCACGATGTGATGCCGTACAAATGTTTGGGAGTTATCCTGAAAAGCTTGCAGCTTGCAAACACGGCGCCATAACGAACGTCAGACACACAGCTGTTCACTCACCTCCTCGTAGGGCCGCGACTGCGGGTGAGTGTCTTTGTAAACCTCACACTCGTAACAAGGCGCCCTCTGACCCCAGGCACGCTCAACCTGGGGCAACAGCGCCATCAAGACTAGCACGGCCAACACCACTGCCTCCATCACCACCTGCAACAATATAACCACACGTAAGGGTTTCACTGTGCCTCAAGCTTACCTCAGAATCTGCGCACAAAATCTGAGCTGATGGCCTGCGTCACTAAGTCATCGCTTGTAAACTATTAATGGTACAAATTATTATGCTGTGCGCAGGCGCAGACTGTTTCATCCCTTTCTTCCAGTTTCTGTCTCTTTCTCTTAGTGTCTGTCTTCACCCGTTCAGATTTTGTGCGCTTACTCTATCCGTCAATTCCAATGTCACATATGATATTACTAAAAACAATTAGAAATTAGTTTCACGATGCAGCCTAAGAGAGAGAAGAACAAATTCAGGAAATAGTCTGTTATTATTTTCTTCGGAAATATTTAAGCGTTTGGCGTACATGGACGCGTGACTAAAATCCACTCATTTTGTTGTCGCGTTGCTGGGCGACAGCTCTGAGAACGGTTGGATTGCGCAACAATGAGCAGGGGTCACGTGACCTCTGCGTTACCGTGAGTGACGTCACATAACCCCACCCATCCCGTTGCTATGCAACTCTCAGTGAACGCCCCTTCCACGTTAGGCTGTGACGTCACACCGCAACTGTGGTAGCTATCACGTATCTGGCTTTCTATGGAGTCCGTGACGTGACCGTTGCTATGCAATCGCTCGGTAAACACATTCCAATAATATAGGCTGTTACAACAGAACAGATGGCAGTATTTGAGAGTGTTTAAACGACAGCCACGGGAAGTTCGTCGTGTGAAGACTTGAGGTGTGACTGGAAGATTTCATGTGTAATACTTGGAATGATTTGAGTATTAGTTTCTGTTCTGAGATGCGTTGCTAGGAGACGACTAGTAGAGACTGAGAATTCTAGCGCGTGCGCAACGGTGAACTGGAATGTATGTATATCAGCGATAGCGCTGTAATTTGAGTGTGTAACCATGTGCTAATAAATCCACTCATCCGAACTAGAACCGGTCATTTCGTCACGCGTACCCCCTACACGTGACAATATTATCGGCTGCAAGATGTCACCGGATGAAAGTCTAAGCAGTTCAGTTATTAGGCAAATGATGTCATTTATATGGCCTAGAGAAGTTTCATACAGATCCGTGACTTCCATTTGTGACGTCTGACATAATTTTCCACACGCAGACCAACTTTGAGTAAAAAAAAAAAAGAAATAAAAGCTTTAATTAAGGTACAAAAGGGTTATATCTCGAATTTGAAAATAACTGTGTATCTAATTTCCTTTCAAACTGGTTTTTAAACTATGGTACGTTATTTGACCGCCTCTGTGGTGTAGTGGTCAGAGTTCCTGGCTACAGATCCAGAGGTCCGGATTCGATTCCTGTCTCTATAAGATTTTTCCTGAGAAGTAGTGGGTCTGGAACGGGGTCCACTCAGCCTCGTGAGGATAATTGAGGAGCTATATCAAGGAAATAGCGGCTCCGGTCTAGAAAACAGAAGTTAACGGCGGTGGGGATATGCTGCGCTGACCAAGTGACACTCTCTATCAGCTAAAAAGTTGGCACTAACTTCGCCGACAAGCGGCGGTCGCTCTGTCGGTATAGTTTGCTTGCGGACTAAAATCACGGAGTTTATTTTTTTTGTTATGTTATTTTATCAACTGAGAGCGCTAGTATTTGCACTTTTACTTCTGTGACCAAACTAAATGGATACACAGCTCCTCTGGTGGCAAATGAATGAAATGCTCTATTCATTTGTTAACATCTGTTGGGATGAGGGTTGAATTCCCTTGAAGCAGAAACACTGTTTGTGAACTAGTGAAGTGTGCACCTAACTCTGACTACAGAAAGTTCGAGTTTAGTTTTTTCTTTGTCTTTGTACTACAAGACTACAGACTGGAATAAGAAACATGACGTCACGTCTGCAGCCACAGTGCTACAAACTGTACAGAGGGAAATTTTGTATGGATGAAATAATTTGTTCAAAAGACCTTTTAGATTAAAATAGAATAAAATGTGGGGAAAACTGAAACACCGAAGAAGGAAACTTAATGGAAAGAGGAAATTTATTCTCCCTAGGATGTTATTATAATCGTGTCTCTCAGTACACGAAAATAAATCTCCTCTACGTTCGGAGTTCGCGAATAGAAAACTTCTATTTCCGCTGTATACAGGTGGAATTGGAGTCACTCTGGCAATACATCTGCATTTCAAACTATGCAGTAAGCTTTGACATCAAAAAGTTTATTCTCAAAGTTTCCACCGGAAAGCACATAACGGTGTTCCCTATAAGCAGATTCGCTTTGGTGGAAATGAAGCGCCCCCCCCCTTCCTAGACAAATATGTCACAATATGTCTTGCTGTTGTTACCTCTCTAAAATGAAATATTTCAGACCGTGGTTTAAATATTTTTGTGGGCCATTTTGCGGCGCCGTCAGGGGCCCGATAACAAAAGAATTGTATGAAAATATGCGAACGATTAATTTCAGAGGAAAACATGTCGTGGCCCAGTCGATGTAATATCACGAAATTTGCTTGGAGGAACTGAAGAAAACTGCGAGATAGGATATGTGGTGTTCCTCTACAAAGAAGAGGAAATTGCCTCGTTTCACACTTATTACTTGCTTCCCATTGGATAGGAGGCTGGGTGGGCGCCAAAGATGGTCTGGGCATTATGGAGAGGAGAAAGATCTTGCCCCTACCGGGACTCGAACTCCGCTTCCTCGGCCATCCAACCCGTAACCGGTCGCTATACCGACTGAGCTATCCTGGCTTTTAGAAGTTTTCGCTGTAATGAATATCAAGATTTCTAGGATGTGGCGCCGTGCATCCTGTAAATTTCTTACCATTGTTTCGAAGTGATTTGGTGACTTCATCTTCAGAGTACAAGAAGTGGAAGAAAGGAGAAAAAAGGTAAAGCTGTCCCTGTAGCAGGACATGAAGACCCATAAGATTGTGAGACGTCGAAGCTCCCACATTTTCTAGACAATTGGCTCACAGACGGCGGTGAGGCTGTCAGCCTTACGCACCGGCCGCCCTTTACCCCCGGTAAGATTCCTGGTACTCCTTTCTGTTAGAGCTGAGTCGACCCCAGGGCCATAGTGCGGCTGGAAGGATTAGGTCAATTGAAAAATCCAATGACCTCAAAGGGAATCGAACCCGCGTCCTTCCGGCTCGTAGCATAGTGCCTCAACAAACTGCGCTTCCGCGTGGCCCCTTGAACGGAAGAAACGTTTCTAATTATCGTATCTACCAGATTTCAAGGTGTCACATCTCAGATGACCACGCTTTCAATCACAAAACCTGCCTGAACCGGAAAGTGTGTAAACAGGAAGTATTATGTCTCCGAGTAGAGACGTCAAGAGCAAAGCAACGGCGTTTAAAGAAAACTGTGTAAGCCAGGGAGAGATACGATTAGTGACAGGTTGTGCTAAATATTCACTGTGAGAGAGTGAGCAGTCCGTGACGGGAACAGGACAATGGGCATTTGCGAAGGTACATGACCTGGACAGTGTGAGATTACGCTCCTGTGTGTCCATCTGTGGGCGATTACGAAAACCAATTACACTATCGATAACTGCCGCAGGAGTAATGAGTCCATCTGCTGTTATTTCAAAATAACCACACGCTAATGAACAAGCTTCAAGTTTCCAATTATACTCGCCGATGGAATCAGGTTCCGTTACGGGCTTATCACGAGCACTACCATTCAGAAGGCAGTGGAGGGCCGGAACAATAACACGGAACTCTCGTATTGAGCGGCAGGCGAGTCCCACTACACCAACTGCCTCTGACCCTGGCTGGGCGGGTTATACCAGCGGTGACTGACTAGATTTGTATTTGGAAGTGCTTGGAACGAATCTCGCACGGGACAGCGACTTTGTTATTTAACGACGCTTTTGGTATGACTGTACAGAGTCGAATGATTGATGAATTATGAATTGGAAGGGATTTAAAAGGAAACATACTTGGTGTAACACGATACCGTGCCAGAATTTGCTTGGAAGGACTGAGGACAACTAAGAGAAAGAAAAAATCAGTCAGGATAGCTGGTGTACTAGTCGGGATCCGAACTGAGCAACTCTGCAATTCAATTTCAAGGCGATACAGCTACAACCACGAATACGATTATCAAATTTCTTCGTGGTTTCTCAGTGCCACCAAGCAAACGCCGGGATCGCTCCTCTTCATGTCGTCCCCACCAGTTCTGGGGCCCAGCCGCCAAGCCAACGAGAACCGGAAGATCTTTTCACGGAGGTAAAGCTGAACCTCTCGCCTCCAACTAGTATAGAGGTCAAGAAATTGTGGATCTATACATCCACTCCCCCATACGCCTTCATGGCGTAGTGTTTAATTAGTTAAGCACAGCAATAACTTTACATTTTACAAACACAGGCCGGTAATTTAATTCATTTTCAGGAGCAACCTTTGCTGCAACATTCATAATGAATAGATTTACACAATCGTGACGTAATTTTATTAATAACGAAGGACAAAGAGGACAGGGGGCGCTGTGTTGAAGTTTAAATGGGGTGCGTGGGGTGAGAGGTTGAATAAAAGGTGCCTATAATTTCCCCATTGAATGCACTGTCCTCCACAAAAGCTTCTTGTCAAAATAATGTTGTTTTTCAAAATGACGTGCTCTAAACGTTAGTCTGTCCGTCCGTCCAGCTGATATGTGCATCCATTCACGTCAATTCAATTCGGCAGCTCAGTGTTTTAACCATTTAACGGAAAGTGGTAAAAATATGTAACTTTTGTTTTAACATAAAAAATCTACATTTCGCCAGCAGAGTGTATATGTGTTCCGTATGGTTCTCACAGTAAACAGCGATTATTTCCCTAAACAGCATTAACCGGTTGGGCGTTGCTATGGAGACGGGGTGTGTTTCCTGTGAGGTACGGACTTCAAGATACTAAAACTCTGCATTCTGCCCACACAGTGTATTTATGTGTTCCGTATGGTTCTCACAGTAAACAGAGACAGGGCCGGCGGGATTTTTGAAACTATATAATTTGGAAATTAAGTTTTGGAACCTTCAATGCATAGG